GAAGGCTACACCACACTATTAATAACTATTAAGAGAAAACTAGTTCTGAAAATACAAAAAATACAGGTAGCTGTCGCTACCAAAAAAATTGTTTTTAACTAAGGTACGATAAACTATTTATCGGAAATGATAGTTTTACCTGTGATACGGCCACAGGCCCGTAGCGTGACTTATTTGTGGGAGGTTTGTTTCAGTGGAAGTGGACCCTTTGGCTTGTATGATCTCCGATACTCTGGAGAACATTGTAAATATATTTACGAATATCAATTTTTCTTTTTAAATGCGGACTTTCTCCAGTTTTTGGGTGGTTCGTCGTAACTCCTCGTCTTAACCCCCCCCCCCCCCACCACCCCCCACGCTACGGGCCTGAACTGTAATGAGAAAATTATACAGCTAAAATAGGAAATAAGCCAAAGCCCAAAAATTACCAAACAAGTTTTGATTGTAAAATGGAATATTAGTAGTTTAGCAAATACACTATCAAATCAATATCATATTTTTTATGTGAAACATGGTTAATGAATGAGAATGAATTACCAAAGTTAAGTGGTTATACATATGAAGTATAAATATATTACTCGCAGTTTCAAGTGGATTTACAATTTGAACATTATTTAGACATTTTAATAGATAAACCATATTACAAGATTATGCTCACTGAAGTTAGACTCGGTATTCTTAATTTAGAAGCAGAAACTGAGTAAATGGTATAAAATCCCATGCCAGGAAATGTTATGTAAATTCTGCAAAAGCTGGAAGATTGAAGATCTTAATTTTTCATTTTAACTGTAGGGAGTATTTAGTGTTATAAGAGATAATGCATCCCACACCACGTCTCAAATATGTTGTATTTTAGGACATTACTTAAATCAAAAGACAAAAACACTATAATTTCACTCTCCAAATTTAGTGTGTACTCGTATAGAAAAGGACTAAGGTTCCTAAAGGCCAACTCAGACAGCGCGTCGTATCACGCAGCCCGACGCGATTTGTTGTCGCGTCGGTTCTGTGTGAGTTAAACGCAGACGCGATGGTGTGCGTCGGGGGCAGTCGCGTCGTAGATATTAAAGCCCCATTCCCGGCAAAATTTCAGTTTTTAAGAAAATCTAATTTTTGTGTTAATAATTAATTAACACAAAATTAATTAATTAATTGTTCTTAACTAATTAATGTTATAAAGATTTATAAATATAATACGGAATTGCTAGTTTAACTGAATTTAGACATTCCTAAGAATGAAAAAAATGTAAAATAAGACTGAAATTTGATTTT